GACTGTTGCAGATGCTCCCCATACTTTTCAATATTCCTTCACATCTAGCATCTATGAAAATCCCCTTCAAAAGAATGTATAGACTCTGCTTTCTGCAGCATTTTTTGGAATCTGAGTGACTTTCTTAATCATCATTGCCTCAGTACTTATTCACCGTATTATGTTTGTGCCATCACTTTTTTTTATTTCAAAGAAATATCAAATACATACCGTAGCTCTGCAGAGGAAATCTGCATGATTACAAATATTTATTCAGTGACAGGGTCACTTTTTGAGTTTAGTTTTTGAGATGCATTTTCCAATCACTATTCGCAAAACTCTATACCACATTTGATATGGACCCCCATACATCAGGAAATGGCCCAAATTTTAGATTTGAAAATAGAAAAGTGTTTTGCAGTTTGACAGAATAGGTCTTGAAAAAAATTCTAGATAGGTTGAGCTAGATAGGCTAAATTATATTTTTATAAAGTTGCCTTAATGTGTGTTAGTCTGGCTCAGTCGGTAACACTTTTTCCTCCGAGTCAGAAGGTTGCGAGTTCAAGCCACATGATGGGACATGGCACTCGTATAGTTTAAGATGATACTCCATTGCAGTGTTGGGGTGTGCTGCATTGTTGGAGGGGAAGTCCTTCGGATAAGACGTTAAACCGAGGCCCCGTCTGTCTGCTCAGGTGGACATTCAAGATCCCATGGCATTATTTCAAAAGAGATGGGAATTTTTATTGGCCAACAATCCCCCAATAAAACTGTCAATTCTCTTCATGGCTGTTTATGGAATATTGCTGTGTGCAAAATTGGCTGCCACATTCACTCACAAAACACAGTCTCAGCACTTCACAGTGTATTCTGTGAAGCTCTTCAAAATGTCCTCTCAAAGTGAAATAAGCGATTTCAAATGTAAGGATTAATATTATCCAACAGTACCCATTAAATAATATGATCTTCATAGGATCCCAGTTTTGTATAGGTTAGTTGTACTTACAATCTCGCGTTAAGGCAACATTGTTTTCATATCAATCTGAAACAATCTATTGTACAAATGCAGTTTAAAGCTAGCATTATTGGTATGAATTAATGAATCAAATATAATTTGAAAGCAGCTCAAGGAGATAGTTCCTCTCACTTCTGTTGTGCATCAGCTGCAGTACAAAGCAATAAGTTGGAGTTCAATTTGGGTCTTTCCAACCATATGCTGCTTTGTCATGATTTGTGATGTCATAGCATCATAGTGATGGCTCAGCAGTTAGAAAAGTTCTGTAATATAGTTCAGTATTGCAGAGTGTTGACATTTAGTTAGGGAACTGCAAAAAATGCGATTTACTTAAACATTGCACCTCAAACCTTGGAACATTCGAACAGGAATGTAGGCCATTTGGCGCGTAATATACATTAATCTGTTTTCTGGCACATTTTAAATTCCATGTCTATTTATTTGCACATAGAGTTTATGTCTGGAAATAGAACAGATCTCTGGTTATACTCTCTTGCATGCACAAACAGGAGTCACAGAAACCTCCATTGTAGCAATCTATAATTTTTACTCTATTTTACAGCAGGTATATGTAGTTTCACCAGGACAGTGCAACATTTTGCATTTATAAACTGTACCCCACATGAAGGGTTCATATAAATGCAAGTTGCTGTTGTGCAGTTTAATTTACTTCGGAGGTGACTTGATGAACAGTTTTCTGTTCAAGAGCTAGGCACGGTTGGCCCAGCACAGCCAACAGTAGGAGTTGGAAGGGCAGACCAGTCACTGGGGACAGGGAATCTTCTTGGCGGATATTTCCACTAGGCTCCCGTTAACCCTGCAAGCTAAAGCCCTAATGGGTAGTGATCCGAACTGTACAAGCAGGTAAGCTTGCCAGGCAGTGCTCTTAATGGCAAGCCATGAGGTTTTGGTTGGTTAAACTATGCAGAACACCAATGCACACTCTGGGGTCCCGAAGCCTGTCTCTTGCTAACCTGTACCTAATACGTTTTGGAATTAGGTGAATAGGATGCGTCTGCATTTGATTTCAAGAAATTTCTCTGGAATTTGCTATGTATAGGTGGGATGCATGGAACTCTCAGTTTCATTTGTATGCTACTAAGTATGGTGATGTGTTTCCACATATGATGACCAAAAATAATTCTCCATGCAATAGATGTTTCGTGATTAGAACATATTCATGACAAAACAAGCTTTCCAAATATTGCCTTCAATTTGCAAAGCAACTTGGTTTAGAAATAGTCAATCAGTGCTGGAGATGGTGCCATTTGTCCCAAGTTGGCTCGGTTTGGATTGGTATTTTACAGTACACTCCATGGCTTTTGGTTAGGCAACGAAGCGTATAAAAGAGAACTATCTGTCTTGCATTTATTTAGCTACACACAGTCCAGCTCAATTGTGGTGAGTAAAGTTTAGTGAGGATAGCAGTAAAATTATCAGATGGAAATCTCTATTAATATATTTGGAAATCCACAATAAAGCTAGCACAATATTAACTAAAGGCTTGACAGCAAAGTCAGCAGCAACAGCAGCAGGAGCCTGCCACCAGGAGCCTTGACCTTCCCAATCAATTACTACACAAACTCAAGAATTTCACCACAAAATCATTATTTATGGGGTCCTTTTAACATTCACCTCTCAATTTTCCCTTTAACAGTACTCAGTACCAGTTTTGTGGTTTTCCCGATGGAGGCGAATTGAGCTGAGTCAAAAATTAATAAGGCCGATATGTCTGCCCCCACATCCCCCTTAAATCACCCTCTCTCTGCACTGATGACCTCATTAACTGAACATTAGGAGACCATTTCGTGCTGCATGATTGCCTTTTCCTGATTGGTGCTTTAAATTTAGCGAACCTTGGGCAGCACTAGACTGCTCTAAGGATTCTTAAGACTTTCCAGTGTTCACTAGTTGGGCCAATTTATCGCCCAATTTCTCTTTTAATAGTCATTACAACTAAAAGGAGGAACATTTCCCCCCTTTCTTGAAGAGTTGAAAGAAACACAATATTGACCACCCCTTTTGAAGGGCATAACGGACGTCAAGGACATCAAAGTTTAATAATTCAGCAGTTGCAAAGTGAGAGTAATGAAGGATGCTTGTGCTGAGGGGACTTTATCTGAATCTGCACAGATGCAGAATGGTATCATCACAAAAGAATGAATAAGGTTAGTTGGGTGGGTAAAGAACAAAGTGGTAGAGAGATCAGAGCCTTTGAGAATCCAAAATGGTAACATTTCCACAAAGACAAGTATTTTCTCAACTAAATTTCTAACAAGGAGTAAAGGTGAGCTGGGAGAAGGAGGGATTTATTAAACAGCAAGGTCAGATGCAAGTTCAGAGTTGCTTACACTGCCTGTCCAGCACCTTGGGATGTCCTCCAGACATGAAAGGTGCTATACAAATATAATTTTGTTGTTGTTGTAGTTTAGCTCCTGGTTATTTGGTTAGTTAGCTCCTAATACTTGTTATTGATTCTCAGTTTCTCTTAAAGAATATAGTAAATAGACCTTCAGGATCAAAAGCTTAATGTATGGGCAGAGAGGATAACACAACAAACAGTGGGAATAAAATGTGTTATGACTGCTTTGGTCAGTTTTATAGGCAATAAGGATGGAGACAAAGTAACTATCCCTGCACTGATAGAGGATAAGAAACAGGTTGGACTGATCACTCAACTGGCACCAATAATAACTGTATTCAGACCTAGATATAAAACTAAGAATTGATTCAATTTATGACCGATGCTGGACAAGATTACGCAAGTAATCTTAATTAAGTAATGGCTTAATTATTTATAACAATTCATTCTTTGCAAACAAGTTATATCATATACAGTGTATATATATATACACACACACATATTTAGTGGAAGCCGGTTAAAGCGGAGGCATAGGGGATGGACATTTTGTCCGATTTAAGAGGTGTCCAAGGTTAGACGATATACCATTCCCATATATTGTGGAGTCCTGTAGCTCAGTGGTAAGAGCACTCGCTTTGCAAGTGAGAGACCTGAGTTCAATTTCAGGCAGGGCCAAACCTTGGGCAAGTTTCCTTACTCCACACAGAGCCTAATAATAATCCCTCCAAAACCAAAACCAATAATAAAAATTGGTCATTTTCAATCTACGACTGTTTGTGGGACATTGCTGTGTGCAATTGGCTGCCGTGTTCACTCACAAATATACAGTCAATTCACTTTACAGTGTGTCCTGTGAAGCGCTTTGGGACGTCCTCCCGACATGAAAAGCGCTATATCAAATGCAAGGATTATTATTATTATTATATAATATGTAAGAATGTTGTTTCACTTAAAGCAATGTTAACTAATCAGTTAAACGTACCTGTTAAAAACATTCTCACAGAATTCAGTAAAATATATTTACTTTGTTTGGCCGCAAAATACAGTGCAGGGCTTTCCTGCCCAGCAGAGGAGCCTCCTCCCTCCCACTGCTGTTCCCATTCATCGGGAAGGGGACCAATTAGTGGAGGCCTGAGATGATTGACAGCGTACAGCCGCTTGAGAATCGATGAGCTCCACCCAATCACAAGCGACTCAGCTGTCAATTCTGATTTGACTCCTTCCATTCCCTCCCTTGTGCCTCCGCCCCTTCACTGATTGACAGCCCAACTCCAGTTGCTTGTGAATGGCTGGAGTCCGCTGTCAATTGCATTTGACACCTCCCATCTACATCCCAGAGTCCTTCATGGCTGAATGAAGGCACTGGACACCACAGAAGGCTTGAGTGAGTACATCCAGCAGTGATCAGTGCAGCATTTTGCCCGGAATAAACAGATTTTCATCTGAATTAACAGGTATATTTACAACAGGTCAGAATACAAATGATTTGGGCTGGGCATTTTGTTCCAATTTATCCGTCATCCAAGTTTAACCGGCGTCCAGCTAAAGCGCATTACACTGTGTGTGTGTGCATATATATATGTGTGTGTATATAAATGTGTGTATGTATGTATATATATACACACACATATACATTCACACCGTATATATAAAAAACTTAGGAATGCAAGAATATTGAAATGAAATTAAATCAGCAACTTCTACAAAGCTGGATGATATTTAATATTCTTCAATACATACTGAGAAATCAATACTTAAGGTAACCTCTATAGATGACGATCTGACTGTTGTGGCAACAAACGATAAATCCAAACAACAATTAATGGAAGTCAATGGGAATTATCCTCTTATAAATCAGTCATCTGGAGAAAGTTTTCTGTATTACAGCCATTCAATACCGTTGTTATGTTTGATGTTCTATTCTACTTTACTTGTATGGAACAATTAAACTAGGACTACATGCAAGTCAGAGATTGCTGAGGCAAACCTCACAAAAACAGACTGCGTACAGCATTAGACAATGAAACAAAAAAGTCTGTCTAGGTTAATAGTATATCGAGAAGAGAATAAGTTTTAATGCTATCTCTCCAAGGAAGAAAGATATTTGACTAGCATTCAAGCTAGCAAGAACACAGACCTCATTACAGTATAAAAACTCCACTTCAATGAAGACAATATGCTGTCTGCTGTAAAAGGTTTTGCATTTTCGTGTACCTGATTTCATTTCAACTGCATTTTTAAGAAACATTTAATTGGGATACAATAAATTTCCTACTTTCGGTCCGAGGTATTTTTGGAGTTCAAAGTAACAGATACTATCATCAAAACTACTTCAACAAATATTTTGCTTAGACATCTCAGATAAAGACAATATTAAGGTTTATAAGATGCTCAATAGGATACTGAAAATTAACCCAAAATAATACTTTCAGGTAACGTAAGGTAAGACTGAGGTTGCAAAGGGCATATTTAAAACAGACATACAGAAGGATTTATTTACGTACAAAATTAGCAGCTGGAATGGGTTATGAATAAAGACCTGTTGATGCCAATACTCATCAGGTCGTCTAAAAAAAACCTCGATGTTGCAGCATGTTGGTATTCTGGAAGTATAATGAATGGGGTTTTGTAACCTTGTGAGATGATTTTTCATATGTGAACTAAACGGCAGTGAAATTTTGAGTAAATCTCACTCATGATCTCAAATCATAACTTTTCACAGCTGCTCGTTGTTTTGTCTCAAACCGTATTAAAGCAGTATTACTGCAGGATAAACAATCCCTCAGACTGGTACATTCCACCTGGAATTCACAGGGATCTCCCACAACCATGCTTCTGGTAACATCGTTGAATCAAACCCATATGCTGAGCAGTAGTTTCAGCAATATAGCACAAACATTAAAAAAAATCTGGATAGATTTGACCCCGTTGCACCAGCATTGAAATAGGGATAAAATAGCAAGGCACCCAACTCTATCAACAAGGGTTAATTCATAGCTTATAATTAGAATACTAGCTTCATTCTGAGCCCCACAAATATTAAAAAGTACCTAATCCGTTCACTAATGAGTTCTGAGGACCAATGCATGTTATACAGTCATAGAATTATGCAGCACAGAAGAAGGCCATTTGGCCCATCGTGTCTGTGCCGGCTCTTTGAAAAGAGCTATTGAATTCAATCCCACTCCCCCCTCTCTCCCCTTAGCCCTGCAAACTTGTCCTCCCCAAATAATTATCTACTTCTCTCTTAAAGGCTCTTATCAAATCGGCTTCCACCACCCTTTCAGGCAATGCATTCCAGATCCAAACAACTCACTGTGTAAAAAAAATGTTCCTCACCTCCCCTCTGTTTCCTTTAACAACTATTTTAAATCGGTGATCTCGGGTTACCGACCCACCCGCCAGTAGAATAGTGGGTGGGTCGGTAACCCGAGGACACCGATTTAAAATTGTTCACCCTATCAAATCCCCTGATAATTTTGAAAACTTCTATTAACTCTCCTCTTAACCTTCTCTGCTCCAAGGAGAATAATCCTAGCTTCTCTAGTGTCTCCTGATAACTGAAGTCCCTCATTCCTGGTACCATCCTGGCATACTGTTTGTTTGAAATAAAACAGAGAAAGCAAAAATTGTTCTGAAACTATAGATCATAATTTACAATAGATTTGTAGATATATATTATTCTGTCCACACATAAGATTAGGTAGCAGCTGGGTTTTGCAATTAGGAATTGTGCATGAATGGACCATTAAGTTACCTTGAAAAACAATAAATTTTAAAACATTGTAACATGACGCTCATATCCAACCACACATCAATAAGTCTTTTTCACTTAATTAACCTAAGGTGTAATTAGGTAATTTATATATTACAGAACAGTTAATGATATCTATATTGAGTACCTTATGTTGGGCCTGCTCATGCAACTTGCAAGCAATATCTAGCTCATTTTGTAGCTGTTCATGATGAGCCATTCTGTGTTGAGCTTCATACTCCTTATTTTTCTGTTCTGTTTGAAACTGGCAAATCTCATGCTTCTGTGCTTGAAACTGAAAGGAAATCCAACAAATGATCAAATAGCCACAGCAACCTAAATATTGTTTGTGCACAAATGCATAAATATTGTTTGTGCACTTTCGCTAAGAAACTGTGAATGTCCTTTGAAAGACTTAGTGTCAATTCCTGATTTCTTAAAATCTAAAATGAGTACTTAAAAGAAACAGTCTTAGGGCACATATAGTCCGAGAACTCAGTCAATCCATATTAAAGGCAGTTGTTTAATTTCTCTTCTACTAGTATGCGGTCCATGCAAACAATTATTCATTATTGTTAAGTGAGTAGTTATTACCTCACATTTTGACTACAATGATTTAATACTATAAAAGGTTAACACATAACAGAGATTGTCTTGGAGTTGATTCAGTTACTATACCTCCGTAAAGAGCCCATCTTTTTCCTGTTGCAGGGAAAGGATTTCCTTCTGCTGTCTCTGGATCATGTCTTCCCTTTTCTGAAGCTGCAAGTTTACACACAAAGCCAAACCACAATGTCAACCAATTGGACATCAGTAAAACAACCTAGATGATCGATACCTAAGGCAAAGGATGAACAGGACTCCATTTCTGCAGTAGGTGTTCAGACTGCTCTTTCATTAAAAGAAGCTCTTTCGTATTGATTTTGGCTTAAGTAATGAGAAAGCTTATCCAAAAATCTTTAGCATTTCAGCTGAAGTTAAGGAAATCAATACAACCATTTCCCATTTGAACACTGTATGTGAATTTTATGTACCAGAGACAAGACAAAGCCAAAATCAAATAAATCGATAAAATTTGTCAATAAAACATAAAGCTGACAAATGGTATTTTACGCAATTAAAGCAAGTTGTAAACATTACAAGCATGATCGATTTCTGCACATTTTTATTAATTGTATTTAAATTCTGGCTTAAATATTTTAACGCAAGGTCAATTTTATCCATACATTGCCCGTTTACAAGTTAGAGGAAATGTATTAGAATAATGTTCATGTTGGTAAATTAACTTTGTTTGCTGCTACAGTTAAACAAGATATATTAACCACATTTTATGCCTTCCTGAAGGTTGTTTATGCCATCACTTATTTCTCAATAATCCTGCAAGTTTTTCAACATTAGAGCTTGGTATTTGCTCATACTGTGGTTCTCCCTCCCTCTTAAAAAATGATCTTTTTTAAAGATAAAAATTGTTTTTGACAACAGATATAATTGTGAGCTGCACTAAATCATATCAGTAGAGCAATTATACTATCTTGATCACATAGTCATTTTGCATAGCAATCTACTCATTTGCTGTCATTTTGTACTTAAAAACTCAGTTTATGCTCATATTCCAAAATTAACCTGGATGTGGAAATATGTTGTAGAGTATATCTGCAGATATATAGGTCACATTATGGAAAAACATAAATGTAAACAAGAACAAAAAGTAGTAATAGAAGAGGACAAGATGTATAGATGTATGAAAAAAAGGGAAGAAGTGACTGTGTTTTCAAATCGAGTGCATTCATGTGAGTATTTTTACAGTACTATTATAACATTTCATTGAAAGAAAACATTGGTACAAGGAGCCTTATCTCAATATCCTAGATCTAGAATTTAAGTCGGAACCCGGTTGTTATTCGATTGGCAGATCGCTTTTCCTGGGGTAATAATTACTTCAAAAAAAATTGGTAACTCAATCCACAACTGTTTGCAGGAAGGACACTGCTGTGTGCAATTGGCTGCCATGTTTCTCCGACAAAATAGACAGTCAGTGCACTTTACAATATATTCTGTGAAGCGCTTTGAGACGGCTCAAAGACGTGATAAGGCGTGATATCAAATGCAAGGATTATTATTATTTATTATTACTGCTGTCGACTTCACAAAAGCAATCATTACACTGAAAACCTGTAGCACTTGATTTGCATGTTACATTGCTCTGGTCTATTAAAATGCTCATATTCAAATTCCAACTTCTATTTCATTTCAAAAGAAAGACTGATATCTTTAAAGTTAGCATGCAGGTCATTTAAAGTTTGTGTTGTCAGTCTTTGTGACACTGTATATGCAATTATTTAGTAACATTTGTATCCCTAAACTGATCGAAAAGCAAATATCTGGAAACAGACTTAAATACAATATAATATAATCTTTTGTTTCTGAGCTGACTCCAAGGATACAGAACTAGAGGACAGAGCTGGAAGATCGAAAAAGTCCTAAACAGACAAGCAGTGGAATAGAACTGGGAATAGAACTTAATTCATTAAGGGTTAAGCCACTTTAGATTAGAAAAATAAAATAATTTAGATTAATAAAGAGGGCACAAAGAAAACTACATACAATAATATTAACCAAGAGAATTGAAGGATACGAGTAAAAAGTAGCAAAGGCCAAGCATAAAAGATAAAGCAACAACAGAAGGGTACCATTAATAAAATATATAGAATGACTCATTATAACACTTTTGGGTCCATAAAATGAGACTCTGTTATTTACGGATCTGTTCAAAAAATGGCCACCACATGATTTGACACTTCTGAGTTGTCAAATCACCAATGATGTCACTTCCAGTGCAGAAAGGTACAAGTGTTTCTAACCCAGAAATGCTTGAAAGAGTGATTGACCAAAGCACTCTGGGTGCTACCCTGCATGAAGAGCGCTATATAAATGCAAATTGTTGTTATTGTGGCTGGGATCCAACTGCTACTGCTCAACATGTATATAAATTATTTGGACTCTAATGTTGTGTGTTGATGACATCAAAATGGTGGGTATGGTTATTAATAAAGAGCACTGCAAAATTATACAGCAAGTCAAACAGACTTAGAGAATGGGTGGATAGATGGCAGATGACATAACAACAACAACAACAAGATTCCATTTATAAAGCGTCTTTCACGTCAGGAGGACGTCCCAAGGCGCTGCACAGTTGGGTCATGACCCGAGCAGGGGGGAAATGGTCAGGGTGAGGGAGGGAAGGGAGGGAGCGAGGAGGGGAGGGAGGGAGCGAGGAGGGGAAATGGTCAGGGTGAGGGGAGGGAAGGGAGGGAGCGAGGAGGGGGAAGAGAGTCGAGAGGGGAGCTGAAGGCTCGGTCAAAGAGAAAGGTTTTGAGACCGGCCTTGAAGGAGGAGAGGGGGGAAGCAAGGCGAAGGCACTGGGGGATGGAGTTCCAGAGCCTCGGGGCTGAGAGGCTGAAGGCCCGACCACCGATGGTAGGGCGATTGGGGCGGGGGACGTGGAGCAGACCGGAGCCGGAAGAACGGAGGGTACGGGCAGGTAGGTAGGGGGATAGTAGGTCGGAGAGGTAGGAGGGAGCAAGGCCGTGAATGGCCTTATAGGTGAGGATCTTGAAATCAATCCTCTGGGGGATGGGGAGCCAGTGGAGGCGAGCGAGGGTGGGAGTGATGTGGTCCCGAAGCCTGGTGCGGGACAGTACACGAGCTGCAGAGTTCTGAATGACCTGCAGCTTGTGGAGGGAGGTGGCGGGAAGGCCGGCGAGGAGAGAGTTCCCATAGTCCAGCCTTGAGGTGACAAAGGCGTGGACCAGGGTTTCAGCAGTGTGAGGGGTGAGGTAGTGCCGTAGTCTGGCGATGTTCCGGAGGTGATAGAAGGCGGTGCCAGTTGTGGTGCGGATGTGAGGGAGAAAGGACAGCTCAGGGTCGAACAAAACACCGAGGTTCCTGACTGGCTTTGAGAGGTGGAGAGTGCAGCCTTGGATGCTGATGCTGTCAGCGCCTGAGGTGCGGAGGCGCTGACGCGAGCCAATCAGGAGGGCCTCGGTTTTTCGCACGTTGAGCTGAAGAAAGTTGTCTCTCGTCCAAGATGGTACAGGAGCAAAGAGATTGAGGAATTCATAATAATAAAACTCTAAAGGTAGTGGAACAGGTAGACGAGACCATAAAAAACGCAAATAAAAATCTTGGCGTTTTTGCACTGAGAAAGAGTATAAAAGTAAGAAAATATTGTAAAATTCATACAAAACCTTGGTTACACCACATTTTCATGCAGTTCTGGTTACTGTATTACAGGAAGGATATTATAGCAATGGAGAGTGCATTGCAGATTTACTAGGGTTTTACCAGAGATGTGATGACAATAAAACTCACATAAGTCCCATCAGTTGACATTTAATATGACTTATGCAAAGTCCGAGTTGCAGGAAAACTTGTGTAAATCATATTAAAAAAACTATTTAATCCATAATCTTCACTGCGCATGCGAATTCAATGCAGCCGGTAAGTGCGCTTGCAATAGTTTATCCCTGCAGTCGGTGCAATGACGGATCAAGACTACACTTCCCATAATTCAATGAGCCAGTTGGCAAGTGTGAATGCTTTAATAGGTTCGGCCATCATTTCCTACAATTCAATTCAGCTGGCAAGTGTGAGAGTAATGGAAGATAAGGGAGCAGCGTTATGAGTTAGGAGTTGATAAATATGACCAGTGAGAAGAAATCTAAGTATTTTTCATGGAAAACTGAATGAGACTCGGGTGCCTGTAGGCAATTATACGATTTATAAAGATAAGACTTATGCAAGTTTTACTGTGTAGCTATCAAGAAAGATTGGACACATTAGAGCTTTTCTCTCTAGAGAACAATGGAGAAGGAACTTGTTAGAGATGTTTAAAATTACAAAATGGAATTTCTTTTAACAGAGGATAGTGAGAACGTGGAAACCACTCCCAGAAGCAGAACGCATGAATGGATTTAAGAGGAACTTTTAGGTAGAAGGGAGTTGAGGGATACGGGAGAGGGGATTAGAAGGGATGGAGGCTCACGTACAGTATAAATACTGGATTCTTGTGGACTAGGTTAGTAATTCCGTAGTAATTATAATTTTACTTTATATTCTATTTTAAAAAGCATGCACTGTTAAATTCAACACTAAAAAACTTGAATTGTTGCAAAGCTTAGGGGCAAACTACATGGATAGTTATGAGGAATTAGCATTTTTTTTGTTGTACCTGCAAGTCAAGCCTTGCAAAAATATTAAATAGCATTTTGCATCATGATGTGTTGAAGTATAAAAATTGTGTGCTTAATATCTAAGTAGAATAAAGAATTATTTGATTCTCAATATGTCATCCATTAAGAGTTTTAAAAAACAATATAATCTGTTCAGTTAATCGTTTTCTTAAAATATTTTTTGGACATGTTCAAAACCAAGTACAAAGAGAATACATAATAGCTTTTGCAGAAATCCTACTAGGATTTTCACCTAATTATTATTAATACAACAAAGACAGTAAGATCTCAGTGACGCTGTTCAATTATATGGTAATACAGATTTTTTTTGCATATAAAGCAAAAATATTTCATCAATACCAGCTTTTCAGTTTTATTGTCAAGTTAGGAAAGCTGTGATATATTGCCAGCTATTTTCTTTACACATTTACCAAATGTTTTGCCTTGGAAGTAAATTTGCTTGCTGTTAATGGTCATTGTGGGTTTCTATAAACTTTAGATGAGTCTATCTTTAAAAAACAAAATTCTAGC